AGAGAGATAACTAATTCCATGATTTCATACATATTCAGAAAGATTTGTTTAGAATACATAACAAGCAAGAATATTAAAATTTATAATAGTCGAAGCTAGATCTTTAATGCTTAAATAATTCAATATGAATTACACATATATACTATATATGTACATGCATATATATCATATTTATAGTCATTCCAACTGCGTGCCGAATTGATTTTTTGAACTTATAAATGCAATTAAACTATTGTAATAATATCACAAATTAAATTAAATTGACAAGCAAATTTTAATAATGACTACAAATCTGGTATATATGCATGTACATATATAGTATATATATAGTATATAATTCATATTTTTAAATAACAATGAAAGCTGCAGCATTGCGTCAATTAGAAAAATCACGATTGTATCAAAATAAATAGTTATATTGAAATTTGAAGAATATTTATTATGTATATTTTAATTTGTAAAGATAAAAATATATCTAAATAAAACTGAAAAATGCTCAAAATATATTTAAAATGTTAGAAGATATCAATTTTGTGATATTTTAATAAATAAATTGATTATGTGATGTGTAAATTAATAAATAAGTATAAATATTATTTTATATAGATATTATGTATCAAGTAATTAAATACTTCGTTTAAGTATTAATGACATCCAAGAAAGATTTTCCGAGGTATGTTTTTTTATATATGTAAGTTTAGAGAATGACGAGTATTAAAAATGATATTATTATTTAACATAAGAATTTTATTCAGTAAAGCGTGAGTATTATTCCAATTATTGCAGACAAGACTTTTTACGTGTAAGTATATAACATAAAATGCAAAGCGCGTAATGCGACAATTTAGGAATATCTACATCTATGTGTCGAAATACTTGTAACAGTGTGTTTACATTTGGCAGTACACATGAAATTGTGAAGAAATATTTTAAAGGCACGATAATATCACATTTACTTATAAGACTTAAATTTACTATCTAGGCTGACGATTTTATAAATGCTTGTCATTACGCGTGATTTCTATAGACTGTTGGCAATTGCATTTGCAAAAGAGAACGACATTTGTTTGTTTTTAGCCTCAAGAAAGCTAAAAGAAAAGATCAGGTGTAGAAGATAATATCATCACATAAACTAACGACGAAAAAATATTATTATACATATTTTTTTAACGTAGTAATTTTGTTAGCATCCTTGGTAAAAATTTTTCTTAAAATTCTTTATATGACTCTTCAGAATTTTTATACAAATTTTATAATTTTTCATAATTTTTATATAATATTTAATTAAAAAAAAAAGTTTTTTGTATTATTTTATCTGAAATACTTTCAAGAATGTTAAAGAAGTTTACGTCTTTTCTAAAATTCTTTATATACGTGAAGTATGAATATGTTAAAAATTTTTATTTTAAAATTTTTGAAGAAAAAATTTAAAGAATTTCGAGATTTTTTTAAAAAAGCTTAATGAATTTAAAATATAAAAAATTGTAAAAAAATTTATGAGATATGAATATTTTTTCACCGCGGATGCCTGCAATGACTTTGATGATCTTTATCGATCACCTGTTTTCTATTTATTTTCTTCGATTAGCTATCTTCGAAAATCGTGACACCATATTTCTTGATCAAACTTTAGAAAATTGTTTTCTCGATTAAAGCTTCGATATATACATTTTATCGTACAATAAAATATCAGTATTGATTTTTTTATTTGCTTGCGTGACTCAGACAAACGTACTTCATATTTACACAAACAGTTATGACTAACGAGATACTCTGGCACCCGAAAAGTTCATGATTCGGTTCCTTTCGATGTTACATTCGCGTAACTAAAGTCACTATCAAGGCGAGTGCGTAATGAAAAAAATATTTTTACAATTTCCCCTACAATTTCTAATAAAATTGTATTCAACAGTCGATAATTGCAATTTTTTGGCAGATCCATCATTAACCAGCAGGGTTTGTCCTCTTCTGTCTCCTCTCTTTGGCGAAGCGTAGTATGTTCGGGTTACTGTAAATCATGTTGGCCAAAGTTTCAACTCCGGCGTACGTATCAGCCTTGGATCCCATGCACATGGAGAATTGGAGGCTAGAGAGCTCTCTGCTGCACTCTATCTCGTGATATACATGCACCAAGTGCCTGTCCGCCGCCCTGAAGACATCGAGGCTTGACTTAACTGCCTTCTCGAAGAATTCCACGTCCTCCTTACCCCAGCCCTGAATCGAGAGATCCAAACCGCCCACAGTACGGTAGTCACTCTTGTACAGTGAAACTATTCCGAAACCGTACTGCCTCCAATGTCCGGAGATCTCGTTTATGATAAACTTGTCTTGCTTCTTGGCGTCGCCGTAAACGACTTTGGGATCATATTGACTAAAAACTATCGGAAAATATATTCTTCGGCCTGGTAGCGTGTTCAGGCGTATCCTGTTCAGCGCTGAGCCCGTGAATACGACGTCCACGTCGATGAACAGCATTAGATCATCGGTCTGCAACTTCGACGCGCCCAAATCCAGAGCTCGAGCTCTCGAAAAGTCCCCGGAGACCGGTAGAACCTCCATGCTGGCACTGCGATATTTGTACTTGAGCTGCTCAATCAGATCTATTGTTTTGTTGAAGGTATTCTCACTTTTGTGCTGGTAGAGTACGACGAGCAATGACGTCTTCTCGCCGCTAGTCAAACAGATATCCTCATAATTCTGGAGGAACCTTTGAAAGATCTCGTAGCGACCTGACAGAGGTAGGATAAAATTGATGATCTTGCTTTGTACCGGATCTTCCTCTTGAGAGTTGAAATTGAAATTCAGAAAGCCACCGTGGAGTAAACTATGAATAGATTTGTCGTCTGATTTCTGTCGAGGTTGAACTTCGACGCCATTTACTGTTTCGCGCATCTCCAATCCTGCGAGAACATTTAATGTTTGTTAAATTTAAGCTAGTACTTAATAGCGGTTTTACTTTAATAATATTTCTTTATATATTATCACAAATTTTCTTAATTATGTTAGAACCTAAGGAAATCTTTTATTTTAATTAAAATAGCTGTATATATATATATATATATA